CTCTGCCCCCTTTCCCCCTGCCCCCCCTCTCTCCCCCTCTCTCCTGCCCCCCTCTCCCCCCTCTCCCCCCCTCTGCTCCTGCCCCCCTCCCTCCCCTCCCCCCCTCCTCTCCCCCCTCTCTCCCTGCCACCCTCTCCCTGCCACCCTCTCTCCCTGCCCCCCCTCTCCCTGCCACCCTCTCCCTCCCCCTCTCTCTCTCCCTGCCCCCTCTCTCTCTCCCTGCCCCCCTCTCTCTCCCTGCCCCCCCTCTCTCTCCCTGCCCCCCTCTCTCTCCCTGTGCCCCCTCTCCCTGCCCCCCCCTCTCTCTCCCTGTCCCCCCCTCTCTCTTTCTGTCCCCCCCTCTCTCTCTCCTCCCTGCCCCCCTCTCTCTCTCCCTGCCCCCTCTCTCTCTCTCCCTGCCCCCCCTCTCCTCCCTGCCCCACTCTCTCTCTCCCTGCTCCCCCCTCTCTCCCTCTCTCTCCCTGCCCCTCCTCTCTCCCCTGCCCCCTTCTCTCCCTGCCCCCCCCTTCTCTCCCTGCCCCCCTCTTTCTCTCCCTGCCCCCCTCTCTCTCCCTGCCCCCCTCTCTCTCCCTGCCCCCCCTCCTCTCTCCCTGCCCCCCCTCTCTCTCCCTGCCCCCCCTCTCTCTCCCGGCCCCCCTCTTTCTCTCCCGGCCCCCTCTTTCTCTCCCGGCCCCCTCTTTCTCTCCCGGCCCCCTCTTTCTCTCCCTGCCCCCTCTTTCTCTCCCTGCCCCCTCTTTCTCTCCTCTCCCTCCTCCCTCTCTCTCTTCTCTCCCTGCCCCCTCTCTCTCTCTCTCCCTGCCCCCTCTCTCTCTCCCTGCCCCCTCTCTCTCTCTCCCTGCCCTGCCCCCTCTCTCTCTCTCTCCCTGCCCCCTCTCTCTCTCTCCCTGCCCCCTCTCTCTCTCTCCCTGCCCCCTCTCTCTCTCTCTCCCTGCCCCCTCTCTCTCTTTCCCTGCCCCCCCTCTCTCTTTCCCTGCCCCCCCCTCTCTCTTTCCCTGCCCCCCCTCTCTCTTTCCCTGCCCCCCCTCTCTCTTTCCCTGCCCCCCTCTCTCTTTCCCCTGCCCCCCTCTCTCTTTCCCTGCCCCCCTCTCTCTTTCCCTGCCCCCCTCTCTCTTCCCTGCCCCCCTCTCTCTCTCTCCCCCCCCCCTCTCTCTCTCCCTGCCCCCCTCTCTCTCTCGCGCCCTCTCTCTCTCTGCGCCTCTCTCTCTCTCTCTCCCTGCGCCCCTCCTCTCTCTCTCCGCTCCCTGCGCCCTCTCTCTCTCTCCCCCTGACCACCCCCCTCTCTCTCTCCCTGACCCTCCCCCCTCTCCCCTTCCCCCTGCCCCCCCCGCTCTCTCCCTGCCCCCTCTCGCTCTCCCTCCTTGCCCCCTATCTCTCTCTCCCTACCCTTGGGTTAGGGACGCAAATTACCTTGCCCAGAGAGCTGACAACCCATACTACGCCACTGACCATGCCATAGCCTCCATGGTATCATTGTTTCTAAAGCATGTGGAGATTACACATACCATCTATATGTACCAGCTCTTAGTCTGTTAATAACCTACCACACACACCAATTTTCAGAAAATTGGTGCATGCGTAGGAACTTTTCAACCCTATGAAGAGAACTTTTCCACCTAAAGTGTAACTCTTCCCAACAAAGATGATACTGTAAAGCAGGCCAAGAAAAAGAGAAATTGGGTAATGCTACAAGGATTTTAAAACTTAAAACTATAGTTTTGACTACTCGTTACATTTATAGTTTTAGCATACCAGTTGCTGCAAGGTACCCTTTTATGTAGTAGTTAGGCTTGCATAGGCAAATGACCCTGAGAACTATGCAATATATTGGCAGTATCGTATCTATCTGCCAGCCATGCCAAGAAGACCTGTGGCCATGACCCAGACAAAAACCGGATACCCTGTTCTTTAAGGTTGAGGTCTGGACATGGATTTACTAATCCATTGTTTAGAAAAAGAAGGTTGCAAAGCCTAAGGCTTTGTTGACTGTAGCACTGTGGAGTAGGTAAGAGCTGCAATGGGAGCCTTTGTGTTTATTAAAAAAATTAGCAGAAGTGTACCTGTTCTAAAATTGGATATTAAGAGCAATGCAAGATTTTCTTTTTAGTGGTCAGTATGTGCAGGGAAAGCGTGTTGAAGATGTGACAAGGGGCAGTATGTGCAGTAGGAACAGGTGGTGTGGGGATATGACAGATGCAAAATAGTACATTAATGTAGGGAAAAAACAAGATTTATTTTTATTTTACCATTTTTGGATTTTCACATAAACATAAAGTTTAAAAATAGTCTGCTATGATATGAATGCTTTTGTATTTCTTCTTCAATATGTCAATTTCCACCAATCCTCCCTAGACTTTGCACACAGTCTAATCAAGAGCCTCTGTACTCTAGGGTAGCCTGTCAAAAGAAAAAAATCTATGTATGCAACCCAGAGGGACAATCCAGAAATATATTTGCATATTATTAAACATTTAGTTCTTTAAATGTAATCATGATCATGGAATAAATAGATTTTTTTGATCTGTTGGCACCAGGTGTTCCTCAATACATAGCAATCCTGTCTCCTAAAATATGTGGTATTAATAACATCATAGGGTGTTTAAAACAAGCCATTGTGAAATGCTGTGCAAAATTTCTTGTGGGCTGCCTCGGACTTACCCAGATAGATTTGAAAGACTATAGAGCCTCTACACCAGTGTTTTTCAACCTTTTATCAGTCAAAGCACCCTTTTAAATTATGGACAGTCCCGAGACACCCTTTAACATTATGGACAATCTTGAGTCACCCTATTCTAAAATGTGTAAAACTATTCTAATAGTTTTATATAATACAGCAACATCCACACATAGGATACCCAACATTAGAGGTGATTTATTCTCACAAAGCAAATACACTTTTGCACACTGGTATTGACTAGTATTCCAGTGATTCTCTTCTCTCTGTTTATCTCCATCACTGAGCTAATGTGACCCCAGCACTGATGGAGAAAGACAGTGATGATCAAACTAGGATGCTGTGCAGGCAGCTGACATCCTCCTTATCAACTAATGATGTCATTGGTTGTCAGGATGCCGACGGCTAGAAGGTCGTAATGGTGCAAATGCCTGTGGCTTTGTGTAACTAAAAGGCAGGATTGTTCCACCCGCTGGCTTATATACAAGTTTTGGGCAATTTTTAGACATTTTGCCAAGGCCCTGGTTGAAAAAGGCTGCTCTGTACCATAAAAATCCCTTTATGTGGTTCATCTTCCCTGATGACACCTTAATCCTAAGAACTGCTTCTTCTGCACTACTGGGTCAGATCTTTTGAAGGCTGCCTCACCTAAAGTGATGCTTCCCTCCTGGAAGTCCTTTCCTCTTTTGTTCACCTCACGATAATGATAATAGTTTGTTGTTTTTGTGACCAGAAGACTGGAGAGAGTCAGATGGTACCCCTGTGAGGGGTGAGTGGTCACTCTTAAATGGGCAGTCTGGGCAACACAGGAGTTGGCTCATCATAGATGGTGAAGAAGGGATACGCTAAACACACAGAACTTTTGTGGATTGTTATAAGGCACAGTTAACACCGCTACAAGCACTTTATGGACTTTGTACAGTATATAAAATGTTCTTTGCATTGTTGCATTTAATTTTTTTTTAGTATATGCACAGATTTGTTATTCACAATATAGTCAATATACACTTTATTTTTAATCAACCACTTGTGATGGTGCTATTTACAAATTGGTCATTTACATGCACTAGAGACACCATGTCAGAATGATAGCTGTGGTCACGTTATATTTTGATTGTTGATTTATGAATTTACCTTTTTTGTTTTTTATTTTTATCTGAGTGTGCATTGCACATAGTGCAGGTGTTCTGAACCTGATTTCTAGTACTGATTGTTGTCAGCATGTTCAACTTGTGCACTAAAACTGGCTTTTGCTGCAGGTTTTAATCCTGTAATGTTAGCTGGGGTTAACATGCATGATTCAAACTGCCATCAGTTTATATATTAGACATCTGAGGTTGTTCGGTTGAAGAAAGTATTTTTGTATACAGTACATCCTCTGTAAATTGTTTCTCATTATGTTGTACTGACATGATTAGGATTAATAAAGATTACTGTATTGTATGTACAGTAAATGATTATGAATGACAACACTACACAATCACAAGTCACTTATTCCTCTAAAACACATGTTTAGGCTGCTAGGATATTATTTATGTGGCATGTGAGCCTTGTCCTTCCCCAGCTGATCGCTGTCGTTGTTTTTCTTGTAGCCATGGAGGTATATCACTGGGTATTTATTTTGTTAGTTACAGGTATGTATTATTATTCACATCAGTCCCTACCCTCAAGGAGCTTACAGTCGAAGATCCCTACCTCGCATGGAAACATACATGTACTAAGACCATTTAGATAGGTGCCAATTTGCTTACTAGCATGTATTTGGAGTGTTTGAGGAAACCAAACTTCCCAGAGGAAACCCACACATAGTAAACTCCATACAGGTAGCATATTTAGAGCTTTTTGGAATTCTGAACGTTTAAGGCATTGGTCAGGGATAAAAATTCTGCAAGTGCAGATGAACTTTTATTTTTGTTAACAAGCAGTTTAATTCCCCATTCAGTATAAAATAAATTGTTTAATACCGTTAAAGAAATCTTGACCATTGAGAGTTTCACAAAGATTGTTATACTAAAAAGAAGTTTGATTTTAAAAAGAAAAACAACAACTTAAAGTGACCCTGTCACAAAAACAAGAGTTGGAAAAGAATGTTACCCTGTGAAATAGAGATACTATACTTGGCCGTCTCATTGTATGTGGTGCGAGTCTTTGCTCTATTCAAGAGCTACGGTGCCTGAAAAGTCCTCCTTGTCTGACACACTTTCGAGAGTGTTGGATTCTTGGATTTCCCAGCCAAGTAATGTGCTTCATGTTCTCTAATAATATTGTGTTTTAAATCCATTCTAAATATGGCTTTCATTTTTTCAGTTTGGAATCGGTGTTACCGTCTATGAAAATCCTGGATATGTTGAAGGATAACATTAAACAGCCTATATGGATAAATGCTGATATACTAACAGGTCCTGGAGGAATTGCCAAGCCAGTAGATGCCAGAGAATTCCTACAGACTGTGTCATTATTTTTCCCAGATGTAACATTGTCATTGGGTTGGACTACTGGATGGCTGCCAGGCCAAAAAAATGAAGGTATATTCTAGACTACTATGATCCTGGACAGTTATGTGTATTTCTCTTATCAACTTCCAGGACAGCACACCTGAGAGATGAGGCTCTTGCTTACAGGAAACACAATTCATTTCAGCTGTTATTATTCCCTTCCCCTTGCCCTCCAGTATTGACTGTTTCTCCCTACAATAGAACATTTGTTTTTGTGACCAGAAGTCTAGGGAGGGTCGGATGGTACCCCTGTGAGGCAGGCATAGGGAGGTCTGAACAAACCTGCAGGCTCATTCCTTCTCACAAAGGTGCACCCAGTTGGCACCAGCGCTCCAGTCTCAGGGGAGTGTGACCGTTGCTGTAGTGTGTTGAAACACCGATCAGTGGATTGCAGGAAGGAGGGTGTGTGCACTCCAAGCCTCGTTCAGGCATCACCAGGATCTTTCAGCCGTCTGACTGGAAGTGGGTTTGACCAGGAAAACGGCGCAGCCCGTAAGAGGGCTCAGAGACGCTGGAATGTGAGGAGGACAGCAGGGTGGCTCACAGCGGTTGGCTGATAGTCCAGGACAGTACACCTGACATCTGCAGCGGAGACTGGGCCGAACCACCTCATGGAAACAGAGAAAGGGATAGCAGCACCGGTGACTGTGGGCAAGTCCAAGTCGGGGCTTGGTGAGTGTCTTTCTTCCCCCCTAGTTAACTATATGTTAAAGCCCGGCAGCCGGAGGGGGATAGGAAGAGAGACACTAAACAATTGGTGCTCTTCTCTCAGAATCCCCAAGCGGAACCCAGGAGATCCCTGATAGACCGCCTTCCTTACCCGTGGGCTCTAGCTCCTCTAGGAAATGTGGTTATTGTGGGGATAAGCTAGCTAGGTCCCATCCTAAACCATTTTGCTATAGATGTATTAGCAGGCTGGCAGGGAAAGAGACTTCAGGCTTGACGAAAGATTTTCTAGCATTTATTCAAGCGAAGATGGTAGCCAGCATCCGGTCTTTTCGAACCTTAGCACAGCCACAAGGCCTAGGCCCAGAGTAGCCCTAGGAATGGGCCGTCCTCACAGGAAAGCTTTAATTTCAGAGAGGGCCCCAGTTAAAATTCTTCCCAGATACTTCCTCCAGCCCAAGCCAGGGATAGGAGAAGAGTAAGGTAGAGCTGGATAGTCAGCCTATATCAGACCACAGCTCCTGGGAGGAGGTGGACCTTGATCTGGGTAGTGAGGCATGGTCAGCACTAAGACTTGGAAAAGAAGGTTCCCATTTTAACCACTTGCCCTCCAGAGGACTTATCCCCCCCCCCCCCCCTTCCTGACCATTTTTTTTTTTCCGACATGGCGCTTCGTTACTTTAAGTGACAATAGCACGGTCATGCAATGCTGTACATAAATGAGATTTATGTCCTTTTCCCCCACAGATAGAGCTTTCTTTTGGTGGTGTTTGATCACCTGTGTGTTTTTTATTTTTATAAACAAAAAAAGACTGACAATTTTGGAAAAAAAAAACAATATTTTTTCTTTTTGCTATAAAACATATCCAGTAAAAAATTAAAAAATCTAATTTCTTCATAAATTTAAGACAAAATGTATTCTGCTACATGTCTTTGCTAAAAAAAAAAAAATCCCAATACATGTAAATTAATTGGTTTACATGAAACTTATAGCGTCTACAAATCGAGGTGTATATATACTAGCATTTTTATTTTTTTTTATATTAGTAATGGTGGCGATCAGCAACTTATAGTGGGACTGCAACAGGCATTCTGACACTGGGGGGAAACTAACTGCCAATGACACAAATGCAGTGATCAGTGATAATAAAAAGCACTGACACTGTACTAATGACACTAGGCAGGAAGGGGTTAACATCTGGGGCGATCAAAGGGTTCACTGTGCGCTGTTTTACTATGTGTGCTGTGTGTGCGTTTTACTAGGGAAACATACACAGCATCATTTTATTGCTGGCAGGAGAGAAACCTATGTTTACACACAGGTCTCTCCCCTGTCAGTGATACTCGGTGATCACCGGGTGCCGGCGGGGAATCTCCGACCAGGACCCAGTACTGACATCTGTAGCCGCCAATGGTGGCATGGATAGGGTGGTGCGCACCCCCTACCCAGAATTGCGAAATCACGTATATATACGTGATTTTGCACAGCCCTGTCACCCTGTAGCAGTAGCGGTTAAAGAGGAGGAGGAAGATAGATTATTTAGGCTTCTTAGTTTAGATGCTGCGATGTTGCAAGTTACCAAGAGGTCTGATCTCTCCGAGGATTCAGGGAGCATTAAGGATTTGATGGACCGAAGGTCTGAATCCCTCCTAAGGAAGCCATGGGAGGCCAACACATCTGCTATGGTCCCAACTCTGGCAGCAACCTGCATTGCCAGAGATATAGACTTTTGGATGGAAAGACTGACCAAACACCTTTCACAAGGGGCCAAGTCAGTTGAAGTTCTAGATTTCCTCTCAATGATAGGGAAGGCAGTAGACGACCTGGCGGATGCTGCGGTCAAAGCTATTAAAGCCTCAGTTAAAACAGTTGCACTCGCTAATTCAGCAAAAAGGGCTATCTTTGTTAAAGCATAGTAAGTTGACTTAACTTTGAAAGGTAAACTCTGTGGTCTCCCCTTTGAAGGCTCCCTGCTGTTTGGCCCAGGGTTAACAATGTGTTGTCCAGGTCCTCTGAGAAGGGGAAGAAATTCCCAGTTAAACCCAAGAGGGAGAAATATAAGCATTTTTTTCGTGGCCCCTGAGGGCAGAACCAGTAGAGGGCCAAAAAGGAACCAAATAAGAAATGGGGCAATGGAAGGGGAAAGCAAAGGAGCAACTTGCTGCTTTCCTCCACAGGAGCAAACACTAAAGAAACCAAGTGACTCCAGGATCATGGTAGGGGGCCACCTGTCACATTTTTCCTCCCAGTGGGAGAAAATCTCAGACAGTGCCTACATCTGCCAACTAATACGAGAGGACTATCGCCTGGAGTTCTCGTCAAGGCTCCCACAAATGATCACCCTATCCTGTCTTCCTCAGGACACCTTGAAGAGGGAAGCACTCATGGAAGGAGTTCAGGAGCTGGCGGAACAATTGGTGGTAGTACCCGTACCCAAAAGTCAACAATACCAGGGATTTTTCTCCCACGTATTTGTTGTTCGCAAACCTTCAGGAAAATACCATCTGACTATAAACCTCAGAAACATGAACAAATTCAAGTACAAAAGATTTTTCATGGAGAGTATATACTCAGTACGCAAAAATCTCTTGGGAAAGGCCTTTATGACTATGCTGGACCTCAAGGATGCCTATTTGCATGCCCCAATTCATTCAGAACATCAGGCATACTTAAAGTTTGCAATAGTAATTGGGGAAGAAACAGTCCATTGGCAATTTAGGGTTCTTCCTTTTCAACTAGCGGCCGGTCCAAGGATTTTTACAAACTCCTAGCCGAAGCAGTGGCACTCCTGCGCCTTCAGTGGATATCCCTGATTCCCTATTTTGACTATCTTCTAATCTTTGGTCCCTCTGCTGTCCAGGTGAATGCAGACACTGGGAGGGTGATCTCCGCCCTGTAGTCTCTGGGATGGAAAGTGAGCATAGTGAATTCCTCTCTGGAGCAGGAGCAGGTCAAAACCTTTTTGGGCTATATGGTGGACATGAGAACTCAAAAACTTTCTACTGAGGGACAAGATACAGAAGATAGTCAGTCATTTTCAAGCTCCCCAAGGGAGGTCTTGAGGGTACTGGGTCTGATGTCGGCAGCCATCCCAGCCATAGTGTTGGACACAATTCCACTCAAGACCTGCAATCCTTCCTTCTGTCCTGGTGGGAAATGAAGAAAAAATCCCTGGACAAAAGATTAGTCACTCCACAGGTAAAATCCTCACTAGAATGGTTAATTCCCAGCAATCTGCAGGAAGGCAGGCCCTGGCCCCAGTGGGACCCCCTAAAAGTGGTCACAAATGCAAGCTCCTGGGGGTGGGGTGCTCACTTGGGAGATGCCAAGGTCAAGGGACAAGGCAATTTCCCAGTCTTCATCCAGCTCCAGGGAACTCAGAGCGGTAGGCGAAGCCCTGAAGGCTTTCGAGAACAGTATCTCAGGCAGGGAGGTTCAAGTCGGCTCCAACAATGCCAACACGGTGACCTACCTGAGATTTCAGGGTGGTACCAGATCCAGACATCTACTAGACCCATCCAAGGAAATCCTGGGTTGGGCCGAAGGGAAGGTTCTTTCCCTAATCAGTGGTTCATATAAAATGGACAAGCAACCAGGAGACAGACTTCCTCAGTTGCCAGCTGATCAGTCAGGGGGATTGAGAACTGAACCAGAAGATCTTTCAGGCCTTGGCCCAACGGTTTGTCAAGCCCAAAATAGACTTTTTTGCTGATGGCAAGAACAAAAAAGTAAGGAGATTCTTCTCAATGTCTCAAGAGTGAGTCAGACAGCCTAGATGCATTGTCACATATCTGACAGTTCAGGCTGGCATATGCCTTTTCCCCCCTGGCATTAATCCCACGAGTCCTCCAGAAGCTCAGGCAGTCATCAGGCCATCTCCTCCTGATTGCACCTTGGTGGCCAAGGAGGACGTGGTTCGCAATCCTACAAACCCTGTCGATGGCACCGCCTTGGAGGCTTCCGATCCTTCCAGATCTTCTTCAGGGTCCGGTGCTTCACCCCAAACCAGAGTTCTTCCAATTGATGGCCTGGCTATTGAGTGCCAGATCCTAAAGAGTAAGGGTTGTCTGGCCAGAGTTGTAGACACCCTCCTCGAAAGCAGAAAGCCTGTAACCAGGAAAATTTACTCAAAAGTGTGGAAAATCTTTTGTTCTTGATGCAAACGGAAACAGGTGTCCTCTACCTCTGTTCTTATAATCTTGAAGTTTCTTCAGGATGGTGTTGAAAGATGGGTGGCAGTTAGCACCCTTCGAGTGCAAATTGCTGCACTTTTCAGTTTTTCTTGACACTAGATTTGCTAAAGAACCTTTAGTTAAACAGTGTTTGGTGGCCAGGGAAAGAATTACCCCAGCCGCAAAAGAGA